CACCTGGCAGAGCTGTAACCAGCCCCCTGGGACACACAGCTCTGCTCCCACACCTGGGCAAAGCTGTGACCAGCCCACCAGGACACACCCACTGCTCCCACACCTGGACAGAGCTGTGACCAGCCCCCCAGGACAAACCCCCTGCTCCCACACCTGGACAGAGCTGTGACCAGCCCCCCAGGACAAACCCCCTGCTCCCACACCTGGGCAGAGCTGTGACCAGCCCCCCAGGACACACCCCCTGCTCCCACACCTGGGCAGAGCTGTGACCAGCCCCCCAGGACAAACCCCCTGCTCCCACACCTGGACAGAGCTGTGACCAGACCCCCAGGACAAACCCCCTGCTCCCACACCTGGGCAGAGCTGTGACCAGCCCCCCAGGATGCACCCCCTGCTCCCACACCTGGGCAGAGCTGTAACCAGCCCCCTGGGACACACAGCCCTGCTCCCACACCTGGGCAAAGCTGTGACCAGTCTCCTGGGACATGCCCCCTGTTCCTATACCTGGGCAGAGCTGGGACCAGCCACCCAGGACAAACCCCCTGCTCCCACACCTGGGCAAAGCTATGACCAGTCTCCTGGGACATGCCCCCTGTTCTTATACCTGGGCAGAGCTGGGACCAGTCTCCTGGGACATGCCCCCTGTTCCTATACCTGGGCAGAGCTGGGACCAGTCTCCTGGGACATGCCCCCTGTTCCTATACCTGGGCAGAGCTGGGACCAGTACCCCAGCACACGCCCCCTGCTCCCACACCTGGGCTCAGCCATGCACAGGCCCACCAGCCGCTCCCAACCCCACCCGTCTCAGCACTTGGGGTTCCCAGTGTAGGCTGACAATGTCACGTGGCAATTCCCTGATCTCCAAACTTTGTGCCCACGTGCACATCCCGACAGACGCCTGCCTTGGGAGTGTCCCCAGGAAAGCAGCTCAGCAGAAGCGGCTTCTTCTGGCTGCTGCTGCCCGTGACGGAGAGCTGAAGCCGAGCTGCTCAGACCTCAAGGGTCCCTCGGTCCCCACCCCCCCGATATTTCTTAAACTACAGAAGAATATTCTGCGCAAGTGGTATCAGTTGAAATTTTCAATAAAAGACCTGGGAAATTCTTTTAAATGACTAAGTAGGAAACCTCGGGCAGGCATTTGGTGCAGCACTTAAGACACTACTTGGGGTGCCTGCATCCCACACCTGAGTGCCTGGTTCAAGTCCTGGCTCTGGTCCAATCCCAGCTTCCTGCCAGTGCAAAGCCTGGGAGGCGGCAGGTGACAGCTCAGGTATGTGGGTCCCTGCCATGCACAGGGAGACCTGGATGGAGTCCTCAGCTCCTGGCTTTAGCCTGGCCCAGCCCCAACTGTTGCAGAAAATGGGGGAGGGAACCAGCAGGTGGGAAATCCTCTCTGTTTCTGTCTCTCTCTTGCACTCTGCCTTTCAAGTAAACAAAATAAATAAATTTTGAAAATTTTAAAAAGAAGTAGAAAGCTAAATGGACCAACAAAGAAGAAAAACATCTACAAGTTACAAAATAATTATTTCCCAAGGGCTGCAGACCTGGGTGGCCTGTGAGTAAATTATTTCAAGTTCTCACACAACTCATACCCCTTGGATTGGAACATTTAAACAAATTCAAAGATGCTCAGTGAAGGCTAAAAATTTGTCCCAAATCTAATATCAAATACTCACATAGAAAACCTCAAGAAAGAAAGCCCCAGCCAAGCTCACAAAGAAGAGTGCCGAAATAACTGTGTAAAACTTCCAGACAGATGTCCAGAACACAGCGAGGGGCGGTGACCCTGCAGGCTGGGACACAGCAGTGCAGCGAGGTACCCTGGGCCCGGGGCGGTGACCCTGCGGGCTGGGGCACAGCAGTGCAGCGAGCCGCCCTGGGCCCGGGGCGGTGACCCTGCGGGCCGGGGCACAGCAGTGCAGCGAGCTGCCCTGGGCCGGGGGCGGTGACCCTGTGGGCTGGGGCACAGCAGTGCAGCGAGCCGTCCTGGGCCGGGGGCGGAAGTGACAGGCCCTCCAGCAAGGCAGAAGAGGGATCACGAGGGTAATCAGAATGAGACATTGCTCAATTTTTCTGTTTCTTTTAATTTCTTTTAAAATATTTTATTTATTTGAAAGGCAGAATTAGAGAAAGGGAGAGAGAGATCTTCCACCCACTGTTCACTCCCCACGTGGCCACAAAAGTCAGAACTGGGCCAGGCCAAAGTCAGGAGCCAGGAGCCGTCGGATTCTGGAATATGGCCGAGCCACTCGAGACCCACTCACGGCAGCACGGGCAGTCCTCTGTCTCAGTGCAAAGGGCACCGGTGGCCCAGAGCTGCTCCAAAGGAGCCGCCAGCGTTTCGGCCTCTGAGAGCCGGCCTGCAACACCAGGACCCCAGCTGGCCGCTGCGGGCCCCTGGCAGTGCGCGGGAGGCAGACCGAGGGACAGGCGCCCAAGGAGTGAGAGCGAGG